TACTGCTACTTGATGGTTCTTATCTAAAAACAGGTGAGCTGAAAGTCTAATTAGGCTTTGGGATTTCATTACATTTTGTTTGTTTAATGCTGGTTGTTCATCAGCTGTTAAGGTATTGGCCTAAAGCACATCACTCTGGATATGATTGTGTTTGTCTCATATGTAGCCAGATCAGTCCAGTGCACCTCAGTGTTATTACATGTTTGTTTAAAAGTACTACAGTAAATACTTGCATGTGTAATGTATTTAGTAAAGAAAAAATGTCTATCAAGCATTACAAATATATTAAGATATCAAATGTGAAGTCATTTTATCTAGCAAGGCTCTATTCTCACTCTTACTGTAGTTTGCATTGCTTCAATATGGATATATGCAAATGCCCTTTTTCAAATCTGAAGGAATTCAATCAATGATAACTTTAGTTTCTTGCCACTGATTGTAACTCATCTATATTGCAGCTGCTAAATTTGCTTCAAAATTATTCATTGATGCTTTTGTTTGTTGTACAGGACACTGTTGCCAAAAAGCTCTTGAAGCGACTTTCAAAAATCCGAAGTCCTGTGAAGGCCAAACAGCCTCCTTCCAAAAGAGCACGTCAGGACAAAGACACTTATGCTGCAGTGCCCAGTGACTATGATGCTGATTCCAGTGCATCAACAGTCAATCTGTCACCACCTGCAAGATCAAGCACCCCACAAGAAAAAAATGACAGCATAGATGAAGCATGCAAGTATACTGCTCAAAAAAATAAAGGGAGCACAACATAGTTGAATGTCTTATTTTTGTGTTCCCTTTGTTTTTTCTGAGCAGTGTACATTAAAATTTAATTTAAAATGAGGTGGCCAGACGTGCCACTCAATGGGAATTTCTTCCACAGGATTTCGAAATTCTCTAAAATAACCAGGTGTTGGTTGTTTGCGATCAGCGCTGATCAAACAACTGACACCTGGTTATTTTAGGGAATTTAGAATTCCTGTGCAGAACGTGTCCTCAGGAAGTAGCGCATCTAGCCACCTTACTTCAGAATGAATTAGTGTATTTAGTCCATAACAATATTTGGTAATATATGTAAGCATACCTTTTCCCTTAATACATTCTCAAATTGTTGATTGTGTGTGTCTTGTTCAGTAATTATATTGCATGGCTAAATTATAGCTGATGCTCCAGACAACAGCCTGGACAGCCAGAAAACCTAGGCAAGACATGACAGTCATATGCAAGAAATGTACAAAGCAAAGAAGCCCAAAATAAGTAATCAGTCGATTTTCTGTCAGCCAGCTATTTAGTTGTGTAGACTCCACCTGTTTGATAACCACATTATATAATCGTTGCTTTTCTTTGTGTGTGTAAATATCTTTGAAAGCAGGAACAGCCATCTGCTGACATTAAATGAATAATTATAGATAACAAAAAACATTACCTAACTGCAGACAGAAAAACTTTTTTTATACATATTTTAAATGAATAATTCTTTCTTTTATTTATTGTATGGATGCTGAGTCAGCATCCATACCATGTTTTCCAGGTCTTTATTATTATTATTGCATGGATGCTGATTCAGCATCCATACTATGTTATCCTGGTTTTTATTTTCTTCATTTATTATTCTTCCGTATGTTTTGTGGGCCTTAACTACTTGAGCATACTTTCAGCTAGAAAAACCATTCAGGTATCAAAATGTTCAGCTTTTTCAGGACATGCGCGGATCTATTCAGAATTTTCCTAAACGTCATACTTTTTAAACTATTCAGCTTTATTTTGAAAATCTTGCCCCATTCAAATGAATGGGAAAATTCAACTTCAGCAAACTTTCAGCTGAAATATTTAGCTTTATTTTGAAAATCTTGCTCCATTCAAATGAATTGGGAAATTTTTACTTCTGCATACTTTCAGCTATTTCAGGTAGCAAAATTTTCAGCTCTTCAAGGGCATTCATCCTTCTATTCAGAGGTTTGCTAAACTTAATATTTTTTAAATATTTAGCTTTATTTTTTAAAGTTTTCTCTGATTTAAATGAATGGGGAAATTCTACATCAGCCTAATTTCAGCTACTTCAGGTATCAACATGTTGAGCTACTCAAGGACATTCATGCTTCTATTCAGAAGTTTTCTAAACTTCATACTTTTGAAATATTTAGCTTTATCTTGCCCCATTCAAATGAATGGGGAAAATTCTACTTCAGCATACAAACCATTCAGGTGTCAAAATGTTCAGCATTTTCAGGACGATCTCTCAGCACTCAGCATCCATACGCATTTTCTTCAGAAAATGCATTTCTCTAGTTGTTTTAAGTTATTTCTGTTGTTGGTTCTGTTGGTGTAAATTGTGCAGATGCTGAAGTAGTCACGGTTGATAAGCGCACATTTAAAAGAGATGTCAGTATTGTCAATTTGAGATAACTGCACACACAACTGCACTTTCTCTATTCAGGGATGTGTCTACTTCCTCTTTTCTGTGATTCTACATTTTTCACTCTTTTAGATGTAAAATCACTTCTCTCCATTCTTTCAATGCAATCATTTATCTCTTACACATTCACTAATGATTTCAAACAAAACACACATAAAATCATCTTATGATTATCCTTACTTATTAAAGCTTAACTTTCTAAGCATTCTGCCATAGCATTTTAATAATAATTTCTCTCTCTTCTCCAGCCTCTTCTGTCGTTTTCTGCTTGGTTCTCTCTGGGACCTGTATTTACAACATCACTGACACAGTAGCAATGAAAACGTCTACTGATTATTATGAATTTATGTAGCTGTCACCTAATACGCAGCAGTAAACTGCTGACAGCTTTACATGAGAACTGCAGCGTCACTGCTGGATGAGAGCACCAGGTGCTATAACAAGTGTCACTTCTTTCTCCATACAGCAGAGGGCACTCCTGCTTTTCTAGTGATTCACTTGGTGCTGACCTTCTCAGGCTGTGGTGCAGAATGACCTCTTAACTCAGGCAATATTGTATTGCAGACAAATTTCTAATGGAATAAAATCACAAGTCGCACTACAACCATGTGTCACCTCAATTGTTTGGTAATCCAAGCTGTCTTTCTCATCTTGACATTCCGATAAAATAAATCATTTAATATTAACAGAACGCTTTTGTCTTGGCTCATGTAGTAGACTGAAAAGCACCTAAAATGAAGACAGTGTGAAATGTGACTTCCAACACAATCAATTCAATTGATGTTCAACATAAATTCATCATTTATTTCTTCAGCTTTTGATGCCTGAATAGCACCTAAAAACATGTCGCAGTGCACCAATAATTTAACCTGATGAACTGGAAAAATTCTTTGGCAAAAAGAATAAATCCAAAAAATAAAACAAAAAAACAAAGTTACAAGCAGATAAAATGCCTTTCTAAACAAGCTCCCTAAATGATGCATTTATCTACATTAAAAATAAATTCAGAACAAAGCAGTCATCACAGATCACATCTTGATGTCAGAAAGCTGAGAATTCCAGGAACATGCACTGTCACTTATTCCAGGTGTAGCTGTAGTTGTTCATGCTGATGTGTGTCAGAGCAGTCTTGCCCAGGCCAGAGGGCTGCTGCAGCTGCTGGATGGAAGCAGGATGGAGACCACAAGCAGATAGGTCCACCGAGGCTCCGATACACTGCAAACACACAGAGGCAGCTGAAGTGAGGCCACACGTTTGGTGTATGTGATACCCTCATGGGTATTTGCCCAATGTGACCAGGGAGTCTGAATGACCAAAAGTTCCAGATTAATCCTTCCATTTAAAGTACAACTGTCTTACCTGCTGCTTGACGGTGTGTATGTTCATGACGGCGGTAGGTGTGTGTGTATACAAAGTAGCTGAAAAGTCTCCTTTCTGTGCTGGCTGCAAGAGGGTTGTGATGGCGTGGAGAGACGATGGGAGGATAGGTCCTGCAGGACAGAAAGAGTACAAAGTCAAACACAGCAAATAATTATGTGTTCAGCCATTGATTCACTCACTGGAACAATCGGCATACACTGCATACTTGGGCAAATGAGAACAATAGTCCTACATATGTGTCTGTGTGTGGATATGATGTGGTTCACTAGTCAGAAAGGGTGAGCCCTGGACAGTCCTGGCTCACTAATCATTACCAGACAATTTTCTGTTCCCTTTTTTAAAGGTTTACTCAACCATTTCCTGTGAAGAGGTGCATAACAACAATTTTACAACAAACTGGAAAAGCTCAATAAGTTGACTTGGACTTAGACTGAGTTACTGTTAGACTGAGTGTGTATCCAGAGCTTGATATCTTTTTCCTCTGTGCCATTCATTACTATGAGCAGACACACTATACTCTATTTTGAATATTCAATTTTGCTACCACAGATATTCATTAGAGCACCAAATGTGCATTCATCCACCACTGAAAATAGTCCCTAAGAAATGCACTATTTCCTCTGATTATCATTTGTTAAAAACTTTGGTGTCCAGATGATTTAAGAGCTTCTTGTGCCTTTTTAAATAAATTAGGTCTTAGAGACAGTCAAAATGGTTGTAGAACACATGCATAAATGGTTTGACACAAAATGTCACAAGTCTGTTGCTATTAATTTCAACTTTGTACTTTAGCAGATAGCAGCCAAATCAATGGGGGAATTACTTTTTAAATGTGGAATAATAAGGGGAATGGGGTTAGGGTTAAAGTGTACCATTGGCCACTGATAAACCCGCATCAGTTGACCACTAGTGATTACTTTTGGAACAAGCACAACAAAGTAGTTAAAATGATCAAATACTGTAATATATGCACAATATGAAGAAACAATATGAGGTGCAAAATTTGAATTAATCAGCATTTTGTTAATATTTCTTTTTGAAATAGTCTGTGACAGTAGTACGTATACGGTCCTGGAGCTGTGTACCTGTGATCTCTAGACTGCTGATGTTCTGGTAGGCAGAACCAACCTGGCTCTTCACGTTCACACTGCGGGCCTAAAAAAAAAACACTCAAATAAAAGGTGACATAACAACAGGTGGCAGAGTACTTTATACTGTATATATGTATCTGTGTCCCCATACCTTCAGTGTGTGCATTGTAGCTCCTCTGAAAGCAACGGGAGCCAGCAGTGTTGGGGGAAGCCCGGCCTGCGACCCTGCCGCAGCCACCACACTCTTACAGTTAATGAGGAAGTTGATGAGGGTGAAAGTGTGTGACCCCTCCACACATACCACAGACTCTGGTTTGTGGTCCAGAGACATAGTGGGACCCTCCTTATGACTAGACAAGTGGTCAAGGAGCTCTGACTGCTTGTTCTTACATGACATTGGACATATGAACCTGAGCAAAGCTACAGTGTTAGACCACAGGACGCATGAACAGGACAAGAAGAGGGATACAATTGCATGGTGATGCTGTTTGGCTTCTTGACTTTATCCTGGACTCCCATCTCCTTCAGCCAGGAGAAGCTGCTGTCTTCATCATCAGAGGAGCCGTCATTTTCCTCTTCATCCCCTGCCTCACAGTCCGCACCATCTTTCAGCTCACAGCACCTACAGTGGAAAATATCAGCACAATTACATTAACCACCAGCAGCAACTAAAACTTGCATTGACTTGAGGAAACATTGAGAATGATGGAAGAAGATGCTCACTCCTCGGCTCTCTCCTCCCCTCCCTGCTGCACTATCAGGTTCTGCTGGTTCTTGCTCTTTCTTCTCTCCTCCACTAGAGGGAGACTGAACTCTATACCTGAACAGGTAAAGAAGGCCAATCAGCATCAAGTTCAACAACAGTCTAACCCCTAGCTATTGTATCGAAGTATTAAAGCGGGGATAAAACTGAGACACACCTTCAACCTTCATTGCTTCTCTGAGACCTCTGGTTGTAGGACAAATCAAGGCTGTGATGCAGCTCGAACCACTGAGGCCCACTGCCCTGAACAGCACTGTAAACTAACACAACAGAAAAGAAGAGAGAGAAACTAGAAAATTGCATTTTCTGAAGAAAATGCATATGGATGCTGAGTGCTGAAAGATCACCCTGAAAATGCTTAACATTTTGACACCTGAATGGTTTTGCTAGCTGAAAGTATGCTGAAGTAAAATTTTGCCATTCATTTGAATGGGGTAAGATTTTCAAAATAAAGCTGAATATTTTAAAAGTATGAAATTTTTAAGATTTCTGAATAGAAGCATGAATGCCCTGGGAGAGCTGAACTTTTTGATACCTGAAAGAATTGAAAAGTATGCTGAAGTTGAATTTTCCCATTCATTTGAATGGGGCAAGATTTTCAAAATAAAACTAAATATTTCAACCTGTGTGTGTGTGTGTGTGTGTGTGTGTGTGTGTGTGTGTGTGTGTGTGTGTGTGTGTGTGTGTGTGTGTGTGTGTGTGGTGGGGGGGTCGGTGTGTCACTGCACCACAGTGTGTTACTGTGCAACACTGTATTGCTTGGAGTGTATATGGGTTTTATTTTGTGTGTGCGTGTTATTCTGTTGCTGTTTGTGTGCTGCAGATTTCAGTCAAACATGGGCTTCTGACAAAAAACTATAAGTCCTATCGAATAAATCTCTTCACTATGAGTGGCAGAAGGTTTCAATGAACAGGCTGATCACCTCTATGTCAAGAAATTCCATAAAATGAAGGAGCTGTGGCGATTTACAAACGCCCTAACTTTTGCTTCAAGGAGATTTTCTGAATCATTTTTTCTATGGCCGTCTATGGCAGAGTGAGGTGGCACTCTCTCTGGAATGTGCCATGTCATTCAAAAACTGTTCATCCTATCACAATACCAAGGCCATTTTCTGATTCCTCACAATTTTCTCTATCGTTTTCATGTATAGTTTGTATGTGAAAGCTTAAGGTTGGCAGAATAAGAGCAGAAAACCAGTTGAAAAACAGAGTGCAGGTCATGTGACACACTAGCAGAGAAATTTCCAAAATCACTATAAAACATAAATTGTGAGAATTCAAAATCTGTAAAAGATATCAAAAACCTGAATACATGTTTTAATAGCTGAATAGTTGCTGAATTGTTTAAATGTTCAATGGTCTTTCTAGGTGAAACTATGCTGAACTGGTTAAGGCTGAAAGAGGAAGAGGATTTGAAGAGTTTCCCATTCATTTGAATGGGGCACAAATGTCTGAACAAACCTGAATATTTTAAAAAGTATAAAAGTTACAAATCTGAAAACACACAAATGTCGAACTCAAAAGGCTGAACACTTTGATACCAGGCCGGCTTTTCTAACTGAAAATATGATAAAGTTATTAAGATTTGAAGATGTTTCCATTCTTTTCAATGGGCAAAATGTTTACTGAAAAAAGCTAAATAGTTTAAAAAGTATGAAGTTTAGGAAAATTCTGAATAGATGTCCTGAAAAAGCTTAACATTTTCATATCTGAATGGTTTTTCTAGCTGAAAGTATGTTGAAGTAGTTAAGGGCCAAAAAAAATACAGAAGAATAATAATAACTAGCGAATTGTATTTTCTCAAGAAAATACATATGGATGCTGACTGCTGAAAGATCACCCTGAAAATGCTGAACATTTTGACAACTGAATGCTTTGATATCTGAAATTTTGCTGAAGTATATTTTTCCCATTCATTTGAATGGGCCAAGATTTTCAAAATAAAGCTTAATATTTTAAAAAGTACAAAGTTTAAAAAAACATCTGAATAGTATCATGAATTTCCTTGAAGAGCTGCACATTTTATTAGCTGAAATAGCTGAAATTATGCTGAAGTATAAATTTTCCCATTCATTTGAATGGGGCAAGATTTTCAAAATAAAGCTAAATAATTCAAAGGTATGAAGTTTAAAAAAAAGTTCTGAATGGAAGCATGAATGTCCTTGAAGAGTTGAACATTTTGATAGCTAAAATACCTGAAAGTATGAAGTAAAAATTTCCCAATTCATTTGAATGGGTTAAACTTTCAAAATAAAGCTAAATATTTCAAAAGTATAAAGTTTAGAAAACTTATGAATAGAAGCATGAATGCCCTTGAAGAGCTGAACATTTTAATAGCTGAAATAGCTGAAAGTATGTAGAAGCAAAAATTTCCCCATTCATTTGAATGGGGCAAGATTTTCAAAATAAAGCTAAATATTTTAAAAATATTAAGTTTAGAAAACTTCTGAAGAGAAGCATGAATGTCCTTGAAGACCTGAACATTTTAATAGCTGAAATAGCTGAAAGTATGCAGAAGCAAAAATTTCCCCATTCATTTGAATGGGGCAAAACTTTCAAAATAAAGCTAAATATTTTAAAAATATTAAGTTTAGAAAACTTCTGAAGAGAAGCATGAATGTCCTTGAAGACCTGAACATTTTAATAGCTGAAATAGCTGAAAGTATGCAGAAGCAAAAATTTCCCCATTCATTTGAATGGGGCAAAACTTTCAAAATAAAGCTAAAT